TAATGACGTGTTCATTAAAACCAAAGTTTAGTGGAAAATCGTCGCTCTGAAACTAAGGCCATATGAACAGTTAAACAACGTTTTATGAAGTTTTTGAACACTTGAAAACCTCGTGATCGGCAAATTTTCCTGGTCGGTTGAAACGTTTTGTTTTTTTTTTTCTTTCTTCTATCGCACCCTGGTGAGAATTGCTTTTCAGGTGGCGTTTGAGAAGTTTACATGAAGGAATTATTGAATAAACAGGATTAGTTTAAGTACATAGAAGTCCGTTGAGGGTCAATTCATTCTCTAGTAAATGAATGGGTAATATCTTTAAGCAGGTTTACTTTGATGGCGTAACAAGTTTGGGGCGGTAGTGTTCGAGAGCTTGAAAAAGTCACTTCTCCCAGAAAATCTACAAATTCATATGACCCTATTAAGAATGAGTTGTGTGTCGTTCTCATATGTATCTTTTTGCTATAGTTATAGAGTAATTAAGCCCTTCCTTATGGTCTTATTAGTTTATTCTTTGGATTTTAATTTGGAAAAGTGTCGGCGCTCTTTGGTGACTATTTGTGTTAAAATGAACAGCTAATAAGCGTTACCCAAACAACGAAAACTCATTCTCAACCAAAATTGGAGGCTACGTAGGCCCAACAAGGAATGAGCAGTAATTTTCAGTTTTCACGAACGACTCTAACGCTTGCAAAATATGAGGGACGTGTAAAATACACTTTATGTCATGCTGAGTCACTTTCTGATAGTTTTTAAAACGTTTTACTTAACACATGCACTAGTTGCCTACATGTGCGTTTGCAATATTGTTGTTCTCATATGAATTGATTTTTTTCACGTTGAAATCTTAGGAGAGACACAAAAATTCATTTTTTGAGAATATTATTACTAGTTTAAGATTTCCGGTCTGTAAAAGAGGAGAATTGTGATAAATAGCGGGCAGCTATCTAAAAGATATAAGTTCATGTTTATTTTTACTGGAAATTGATAACCTTGCGAGTGAACTTTTCTGTTACTCGCACAACGCTGAAATGGAACTTTAAGGAACCTAAGTAGGCTTAACAAAATCCTTAAGAATATTTAATCTCCATTTTCAAGGCACTTTGGTTCGCTCCAGTTTTAATTGCAGTCCGTTAACTCTTAATCGGATCATTCCAGACTGTTTCAATGGCTTACAGACGACCCTCAAATGTAATCTCCACTTTCAAAGTTTTTTGTTTTCTTGAAGTTGCTAAGATATTTTTGAGGTACGTATTCTACACAATTAAAATTAATGCAAGTCTTGAGAAAACTTAGCTGGACTTTCGATTCAATAGTTGTACTTAAGTGCACTGAATCAAGTTCACGAATTTAATTAGCACAGCGAAAGATATCGAACTAAGCATTGTAAACATATTACATTGATACACAACAGTTTGGCGTTTGAAATTAGTCTGCGACTTTTGAAATTGGGCATTGATCGGCGAATTGTAAAGTACGAGTTTACAACTTAACAATTCGGTGCCAATTTTCCTATTGCGTGAAGCAATTTATTCAATAATGAAAAAACTGAGAGCAAATAAAACCTTCCCAAACCAATTTTCTATTAAATACGTAAAGTCAATGTTTTTTTAATTTGAAAATGTGCGAGAAATGAAACGTCGGCCGTTCAACAATTGAAGGTTGCTTTTGTTTGAACGCAATTCTTAGAAGACGTATTTTGGGCGTCCTTTCACATGAAAGCAGCGCCTAATTCACCATTTAGTGACAAATTAAGCTTATTGAGTCGCCTAATCACATCGTGAGAGATAAAAGTGATAATTTGTACCAATGTCTAATCGTGATCTTTTTGTGTGCAGTTTCTATAGACAACAGTACGCTATACTTATAAAATCAATTATGTCGTTCCCTCATGGCCTTGTTAGCTTAAATCATTAGGCACTTTATTATTCTTATCATTTTAATCAAGAAGAAGATGGTGTCTTCTGCTCACTCCTTTGTTAAGGTAGATGATTTTAAGCGTCTTTGAAACAAAGCGAAATAGACAACTGGCGACGTGGAAAGAAATTAAGAAAGACAGGTATCTTTTGTCCCACCTTTAAAGAAAGAAAGTAACTCCTGCTTGTCGTTTCGGTAATTTCGAGTTTGTAGTTAATTCAAATTGTAAAGGCGAGAACCCTTGATATTTTGAAAGCTATAGCTTGTGACGTTGTATAGCAGTGATTGTCAGGGCACAATCACGTGTTTTCCACAGGGTGAGGCCACTGAGACGGAACAAGTAGCCATGTTTGGCCGTTAGGCATGTTAGAGCGTGGGAACCAAATTATTCATTTCGGATTTAGTTATGGAACTTCATTTTACTTAGTGCTGAGAAAGGCTACTTATCGGTTAAATGAAAACAAAGGAAAAAGAAAACAAATTGGGTAGTATCAATTTGTTTTATTCAAAATCATTGAAATGAAACGTCCTTCGCGGCTGTTATTCACGAAAATAGAGTTAATAATCACAACTTGCTGTTGTCCACTACAGCCATTATACGGAGAGATAGATAATCTTTATTTACCCACGGACAATTCGAGCAATTGGAACCAGCTAAACGTCAAGATACTTTGAAGTTTTTAACTAAATAAGTACTATTTGTCGAAGATTTTGTGGGTCTGAAAGGCATTTTTAGCAGACGCTTCCGATTTAAGCCCTCAAGCCGTTCTTAAGTCGACCACGCCGTCTACAACTAATGCTTGTAAAAGACTTCCAGCAAACTCTTCGAGCCCCATTCTTGTCTCTCTGAGTAATAAAGTTCATAAAAGTTCTTAACTTTTGCTCTTCAGAAATGAAAGTGAAGAATCGTATCCGAGCTCGCTCTCGCATGCACCAATGGCGATTGCCCTATTAGTTTCGCGATTTCTTTTGGGGAAAGGTTTAATCAAATTTCAAATTTTTGCCACTTTTGTCTGTGGGCTCAAGAAAAATACAACCCAAAAATCTTGCTAGTGCCTAAGTACACTTTAAGGAGTGCTAGCTTTGTTTTTCTCTCCGTCTTTTCGTTACAGTTTGGGCACACACATGTAAGCGAAAGTTCGCTTCTCACAATTATCACCTTTATTCAATTTCCATATTAATATTCTGAAATAATTATATTATTTTATAAAATGTTCAGAGAAGTGCGCGCACCGTGATTGGTCAGAACGAGGTGATTATATTTCCGTAAAGCACGCGCCTTACATTTCACGAGTGCACTGTTGAGATATACTGCACGCAGCCTATGTCATCGTAACGAGCGCATACATTTTATAAAAGAATTGAAAAAACTTGTTCCTCAAGCATTGTTGAGTTATATAGGCACTTGGGAATTTCTAAGAACACTTCCGCACTTCTCTCGTGTTCTTAAAAATTCTCGCGTGCTTATAGAACTCAACAATGCACTCGGCGCATTTTTATTTCTTTAATAATATTAATAATGTTAATTATAATATTTATATTATTAATATTATGTTGGCTGACCCATAAATAGACAAAGTTAGTCTAAGATAGGTCTGTAATTAGACTGAGAAAAGCTAACTCAAATATCTAAGCTCGAAAACTGCCTGACTAGATTTGATTCAGTGTTGGGAAATACTCACAGTTGAACAAAATTTATTCTCAAGAAATTGGTCGCGAATGCAAACTGTTAAATGGAAGCTCGAATATTTTATTATTATATATAACATTTTACTTCTGTTATGATTGTTTAAGTATCTCAGTAACTGCCTTCGTTTTCCAGGATGCCAAACAAAATATCATGGACTTTTGCCCGACTAAAATGTATTGGTAGGTCTCTTACGCGCGCTGGTAACCCAATCCACAACTTGACACCCGTGCGTGCAGCTGCCGAAAACCCAAGTTTCGAGGCGCATGCAGAATCATGATCAAACCATGATCTCATTTCACGCTTAACCAATCAAATAGCTGCGATACATTATAAGATCGAATTCTAGTGATTGTCGAGAGCGACTTAAATGACTCCTAAGAAGTCAATGTAAGTTTTTCATGGTAATACAGCAGGTCCCACCTACCCTTAGTAGTTTTTTTTCCCATATTGCAGCTTTTCACTCTCAAAAAGAGAGAACAAAAATGTAATGTTGATGGTGCTATGTTTTCGTCCCGGTGAAATAAGTCTCAAAAAGGGCTGTTATCGTTTATTTTTTGTTTGTTTGTTTATTTATTTATTTTTTTAAATTAATAATTTGTTTATTTTTTGCTTTGCCATTTTGTAATTATGATACATCGGTATAGGTAAAAAAGGAATGACATATAAATAAATATACATATACATTAATGCAGCTCCAAACGGAACCAAGACTGTATATCGGTGACTGAGAACCAACACTG